CATGCGGGGGGGGGGGAAATGTCAGAAAATTGTTTAAATCCCTAAGAAGCCTAGACATCCTTTTAAGATTTCAGCTGAAAGATGGTTACATATCAAACTAAGTGACAATGAAAAAGACCCACAAAATCCATTATCTTCTTCATAAAATCTATGAGATTTTACGAGAATCCTTCCACACAGACTTTACTGCAGTATTAGATGTAAGGGACCTTTTTCAGAACTATATTTTTACTTTGATTTTCTTAAGAGAGTTCTCGCGAAAAAAGACAAAGAACTGGACATTTTTTTCTCCTGAAAGCAGAAGACAAGTATTGCTATTGTCCATTACAGAATTTATCTTCATTCTTGTGAAGTACCTTAACAAGTATTTAATTCCAAAAGGCATATGGAATTAAACTAAGTGTTTTTCAGAACAAAGGCTTTGTTCATCTGAAGAATGACTGAACATAACTTAGTGTAATTGCAATTTAGAGGTCATGCTTCTCAGTTACAGAGTAACGCTGATAAAAAAATATTACAAATCCTCTCCATCCCGCGTTTCTAAGCAGGTTATTCAGTGTTTTGTGAAAATACTGGCTGCACCCACCTCCACATCTTTGTCAAGGCAAATATCAGTCAGTATACTAAATGGCAGGTTTATTAGCTCATGACAATTATAGTAGTCTAAAGACAGTTGTCTTTAGACAACTTTAGACATGTTGCAGCTTACAGCTCCTATAACTCTTTAAGACATATATATAATCAAGAGCTTTTGAGTAAATATATTCTGTGCAAGGGAAAATCATATCCAAAACAAAACATACAGCATGAAAGACAAGTACAAAGGGCAAAATCCGTAAGCTCCATTTGGACGTGAACTGTTAGAGTGACACATGCTGATTGTGTTGGTACTTTATCACCATGAAAACAAAGAACAGCCAAGGATTCACACTCTGCAAGCTAGCTGAGTACCTGTTTCAGTTGTGTCTCAGAGTTTACGTGCACATCACATATTTCACAGTGAAATGTTTTGTTCTGAAGGCCTGTGTTTCCTTTATTCACAGGTCCTTTGCCTTTTACGCCTGCCCGGGGAAAGGCTTTTATGGTTCCACTTCCATTCCGAGCTTCCAGCATAGTTTTGTGCTTAGTCCCTGGAGACATTAGAAATGGGAAACAGAAACAACTTTGGCAATTTGGTTGCATTCATTGTTTTATTTTCTTTTTAAAAGAAAATCATATGAACCTCAGCTTGGTGCCACGTGCTATCCTTGGATTATGCCTGTGTTTGTCTGTATCAGATTCATACCAATGTAACAATATTTCACATATGATATTTAATTATTAAATTACATATCTGTAGGTAATGCACTAGAACAAAGCAGCCACACCAGTAAGTAGTGGCACAATCAGGTATCCTGATGTGAAGTTAAATGGGTGTGACTTTTCTCATTAACTCCTGCTGCTAATAAGACCTGAATTGTAGTTGCAAAGGAAGAGTAATTTAGCTATTAAAGATGTAGTAGGCTTTGATTTGTAGTCCTCCTGAATGGATTGACAAACAGTATGTATTAGGTAGCTTACACTTAAGTCTGTAATTAACTAATTAGTCTCCAAATCAAAAAGGGGCAGAGGTTCCTGGCAGCAACCTATGGATCCTTAATGGCCTGGACAGAAACCAAAACGTGTGAGAAACATACATGTGAGAAAAATGCACTTGCATTTTTTATTAAAATAAAGATTGGATAGAAAACAATAGTGTCCTGTTGCTTTACCTTTATTCAGACCAAACAGTTTCTTACACTGTTAACTGCCACACAGGTAGTCTGTGATGATAATGGACTACTACCATGTACAGAATTAGTGTGCCACTGATAATTGTTGTATGCATCCACATGTACACTTTTACAAGCATGCATGTGTGTGAGCACACACACAGTTTATCAGCATAGACAGCAAAAACTTGGAGAGTTGTGTTTAAATATTCAGAATAATGTTTTGACTCTCATCTTGATCAGAAGAATGTTTAGAGTCTAACCCTCATATGAAATTAAATAGGTTAAATGGGTACAGCTTTATGAACTTGAATTTTCACCAGTTGAAGATCTGGCATACAGCAAACACAGCATTCAAAACTGATTAGGCTTTGTTTCTCATGAATACCAACAAATTATCATTTCCTTTTTAATTTGAGTGGATTCTATAGACATGCCAAAGTTATTTCTTTTTTTATTACATCATAAAACCATTGATCGTCTTGCTGCAGGTATCTCATAATGTCTCTATGTTTCAAACCTAAGGTTCTCTGCCTGTCTCCTAACTCTGTTTACCCTGCTGGCAGGTAACCCCTGACATCCAAAATCAGGAGTTTTTCTGTAGGATTGTAATAGGTGGTCATTGCCACCATATTAAATCCCAAGATCTTTTAACCCTGCTCACCACAAAGCCAATCAATAAGATGCTTAAAATAGTGACTGTGAATGATGGCTCTCTACTACTGGAACTTATCGATGCCACTAGCTCTAATAACAAGAAAAGGCTTAAAAATTAAGAAAGATGGAGGTAAGCAATTACTCATTCAACTCTCATGCAGCAGTTGCTATCAGTTGATGAAAAGAAAGGAAAAATATACATAAAACAAGTTATTAACAGACAATATGGAGCTAAGAATTCTAACTCTCATCGTTGAACTCCGACTGACTGATGCTCCCTCTTTCAGCTTTAATTTGTTAGATTTCAAACAAAACTAATGGCATTCATACTCAGTTTGCTAGCTGGCACAAACAAAAGTATGCAAACTCTGAACACCAAAGGTAATGAAGCATGAGCTGTCATTTAGCTCTATAAGGTTTGGAAGCTGCAAAAGTTAAAATGTAAGAAAATGGATAACTTGCATGCAATAAAATTCCTTTCTTCCCCCTTTACGAAAGCCTCTTTGCCTGTCATTTTTATTCTCTAATAGTTAATGAATTCCATGTAATTGCCAGTTTTCTGCCACCTCTTTGTCCCTTCTGCAAGAGATCTAATCTATTCAGGGGAAGATAATTGCAGAGCTCTTGAGACACAAGGAAAAGAAGAAAGCAAGCACTGCTCCATCTCACCACTGTTGTGCGCCTCCAGCTGCGAGGCAGAGTTGACAGCGACTTTGCATAGTGAACAGTACAGCAGTCTTTTTGCTTTTTCTTCCTCAGTCTCAACGGAAGGGCATGTGGTGCTGCTAGTGGCTGTCGTGGGGATTTTCTCCACTTTAGAGGTGATCTCAGTTGTCATAACACTGCTCTTCCGGATTTCCACGGTTGTCGTCGTTGATATTGCTGGTGTCCCTGTGGTAACGTCTGTGGGCAAAGAGAGGAGATGGAAACAAACAAAACAAAACAAAAGGTTGTGACCTTTGGCATTTGCTTGTTTGCATCCTAATGCTGTAACCACACAGAGAGCCAGATTGTGCTGGTGATGGTTTGACTAACGGTAATGAACTAAATCTGACCTTATTCTTTGTATTTTGTGTGGTTACAAAATACAGTACTCCCATGTATCAAAATGCCACATATTCTGTCTCCTGCATTCTGCTAACACCCATTAAAAACAGAATACGTAAACTGAAAAGACAGGTCACTAAGACCGTACTGTACAACTGAAAGATAATCCACTAAAAGAGGTCATTTAAATGACCAGTACAATAGGCAGTTAAAATTTATACGCAGCACTTCAGACACATAAACTGCCATAGTACTGCATAATACTTGCACTGATTGAGTAGCCAAGTTAAAGTTTTAACATTCTGTACTAATAAAACTAAAATGAAAATAATTGTATGTTCTTGATATCTGATAAAATAAAACGTTAAATTGATACTTCACTTGATATTAGCCAAAACTAATATTAAATGAATGAAGGTAATTATTAATGCATTTATCCATGCATTATTATTGCATACTAACAATACATACTAATAAGAGTAATTAAATATACAACATTCTATACCTGAGACCTACACAAACACTAATAAGATTTCTGTTCTGTGTATCAGTAGTATGTTTGGAAAAACTGTAAGCATGTTATATAGCTAAATCTATTTGGAAACCTAGTGCTTGCATCTAAGGACTTGTGCTTTTTCTGTAGTTTTCAAATCCAAAAGAGAGAAAATACACAATGATATTGTGGTTTGAATAATATATACATGGCATTTGGATATGGCAGTATCATTTGGTAGTTAAGTACTTAGCAGGGTAGAGGACAGTAAGATCCAGCACTGAGCCAGTGGAGAAGGTGGCAAGTAAGGGACAGGAGAAGGAGAGAAAGGACAGGAGCTGTTCTGCCTTTGCAGTGTTGTATTTTGTCATACTAAGCCTACTGAGTAGCAGCTTCCCCTGTAAAAAATCTTACTCACTTTACTGAGATACTCCTGGTATTGGGTACTTTCCAACATAGGCATTGGAGAAACAGTCCAGAAAATTAGACACTTTTCAGTAAAGGCAATTGCAGGAATCCACACTCAGTAGTATTAATCTGATCTATTAAAACAGGATGAAGAACAGCCCCAGTACTGCTTTTGGGTTTGTTTGTTTGTTTGTTTGTTTGATTGATTTTGGGTTGGTTGGTTTGTTTTTTCAGAAAAAGTTTTCAGTAGCAGATAAGATGAACACAGATCTCTTACATCACTGTGTTATGAAAAAGGTCCCCACCATATTGAAAGTGCAAAGTGAAAGATTTATGAAGTATTTTTTTCTCCTCTAATCAGCGCTGGAGGCCCTGTGTCCAGCTTGGGGACTGCAACGTCAAAAATTAACAATTACTTGCTTTGTTGTTAATCCAGCAGCAATACAAATGCAAACCAACAAGAGAGGGGTTGTGATGGAGGAAGCCAAAACAAATTAGAGGTTTAGAATATATTGTCTGTGAATACGGAAGATGAAGGGTAAACACTGACAACGTTTTCCATATCTGTAGAAGGTAGCTAAAAATAAGAGAATAAACCCTTCTCCCTGATCCCTCCTACTAGGACAAGGACTATTAGATTAGAGCAAGAGAGACTTAGATTAGACATCAGGAAATTCTTTCTAATATTAAAGCTTGTAAAGCCTGAGAATAGCCTACCTACAGAGATCAGGAAATATTGCCTACTGGAGGACTTGGAACCGGCTGAACAAATATCTGCAGGAGCAACCCAGGTATGATCCCCTTTCAGTCAGTGGGAATAGGACCCTTCAAGCCCTATTAATTTCTATACATTTTTTTTCTTACATATATTTTGTAATGTTTCCACATATTCTCCCAGAGGGTTTTTAAAAATTGTTATTCATAAATCCAAGAAAGCAGAGTTTGTCATGTGAATATTCTACATATTGCCAGGCATTAAAGCATATAGCAAAAATAAGGTCACATTCAAGGTCTGATCAAAGTATTTTTTTTTCCTGAGAGTGAGTCTGGATGTGGTTATATCCTGAAGGTACTGGGGATGTCAAATACTGGTGCAGAAGGAATGGTGTTACCTTGCTGAACATTCTCTTATTATTTTCTACAGACCAACAATAATGTTTCAAAAGAAAAACACTATTTTGAAATATTAAATCTTTTGTTGGGAAACTGATGAGTAAATGAAGCCTTTGTAGATCTGTCCACAAAATTATACATTTAACTAATCACTCCTTTCCCATCCCAGAGAATCCATGGTGATGTTGGCTTTCTTTCAGTTGAAAGTTGCTGCAGTGAAATTATTTTCCTCAAAAGCCCACTCCCAGCAGTACATAACACTGCTTTTAAAACTTCAGTTTCTCCATCCTGGTACTATTGTACAGTAGTAAGTCTAGCCAAGGTACTTTCCTGGTGAAAAGGAAGGCAGAGGGCAGATGGCGCCAGGGTGAGGGAAGGAAAAGAAAAAGAAGACATTAACATTCTCTCAGGATTGATGACAAGGTTGGTGCTCATACTAATCTTGCAGGAAATTAGATATGTACATCAATCACCATTACCAGCTTTGTAGTGCAAGGGTCAGTATTTTGCCCTAAGCAAAATATAGATCATAATTTCTTTATTTTCCATAGGAAAACCTGAGGCAATGAACAAACAAACAAAAAAACCTGCAGATTTTATTCTGCTTCACTTATCTGATCGCCTATATCTATGTTGATCTAATATTTCACTACGTAATTATTTTAAAGCGAAAAGAAAATACAACCAATTATGTTAGTCCTTTTGAGGGTATTTTGATATGCACACGTGAAAGCAGCATTGTATATAAAAATTAAACTAAAAATGGTAAATGTCATCAGCATATTCTTCAACTAAAAAAAAAATCAGTTTGGTGCATATATTCTGCATTTTCAAAAGGTGCCCTAGATTAATACATTATATATTCCACTAATGCAAATGCATTAATGACATCAAAACATATACAAGAAAACACCATCGAAGTTCACCATGTAAAAGCCATGACACATTTAAAGATGCAAAGCTGCTCCTCCTCATATAAACTTTAGAATTATCTGCAGCAATTCAGGAGAAAACATTCTAAAAGCTGACAAGTAAGCTTACAAAGAGGGAATTCAAATCCTCTTCTCACCAGAACTTCTAACCTAACCAGCATGTGTCTCTCTGAATATATTACAGTGTTGCTGCCTGTATACAGTTCAGTGCCTTAAATACAGGGTACAGCATTAAAGGTATAAAGGATTAAAAAAACCCCCAACCACGAAAAAGGAGTAGGAAGGCATTTGAATTGATGCCTTGAAGCCTGAATCAGCATTTCTTAACATTATATTATGACAGTGCTTTAAGAACTATTTCAATAATAAATGATCTAAAATCGAGCTGGAAATTCAGTCACAGTCAAATGGAAGATTTGTTTCTGGTGACGCAGGCTTGCAGCACTGTGCTATTTTCATACCAGTGGCCTGCAGCAAATATTCATTATTGCAACTGTCACCGCTTGGCTTTGGCATAGAAGCTGATTGCTAATATTGTATGGAACTGGACTCCAGCAGCAAAAAAAGGGAACACTTCAGGATTCACAATAATCCATTTGTGTTCCCAGTCTTAATATAGCAACAGAATAAAAATTAAAAGTAAAAAAAAATTACATTAAAATCTAATCTTGGTCACTGGCAAAATCAAAGATTTATTTTAACAAGAAGACAAAGCCAGATGAAAAACATTCTGTGAGAATTGACTCCTTTGGGTAATACAGATACCATAGTTCAAGTGGAAAACTGCAAGTGTGTGATAAAGGTCCTCTTAAGTAAGCAGGATTAATTTTCTATCCCAGCTACAAGACTCATGAATTCTCTTTAGGCTGAAGAAACAGAAAATTACAACTCATGTTCTTCTTCTGAGTGTGTGAAAGTCTCACTCATCAGTTCCTGCTACTAAGCATAAGAATTTCTTATCCTGAAACTATAAATAGACCCACAGAGAGAAAAGTGCTCTGACTTCAAACAAATCACAACTATTTATGAGCATGTTTTTTCTTCCACAATCTCAAGTGGCATACATTTAAAAATATCTGATTTAGCACATACCCATGCATTCTGGTCTCATTTAAATCAAACTTTGCCTTTGACATAAAAGGATTGAGCATTTGGCCCATAATGCTGTCCAGGAAAAACCAAAAAACCCAAACACCCACCCCTCCCCAGAAACTAGAAAGCACATTCTTTCTCATGACAAACAGAACTTGATATGAAATATTTTACTATACTATAAGACCTCTTAGTATTGCAAAAACATTGTCAGCTGGCTCACTTATAGCAAACGCACATCAAGTAACAGAATACTCCCGTACGGGTGCTTGATACTGGCATGTTCAATATGTCTCGGCGTATTATTTTCCTGCCTACTAAGAACTGGGTCCTCAATTTCCTTGGGCTGCTTTGAAAATCCCATGCTCTATGTCCCCTGTGGTAATTACATTTGAAAATAAGATGTAATTTCTTTTGAATCTATAAATATAACAGTGGAGTATATCAAAAACAAAGTACCATCCCAAAAATAACTGCGATTGACTTTTTTTCATGTTTGGCTGACTTTCTGTACTCATATGCTAAAACATAAGCATGCGTGCTAGCACATTGGCTCTGGCACTTAAACACAACACTGAGGAATTTTGACTCAAATGTATTGACCCCTCCTTCTTTACATGTGCAGAATACAAACTTGCATATTTTGTGGTTGGTGGATATTTGGCCCATTACAATATATTGTACAGAAAATTCTTTCGGTGTCATATTATGAAAATTCCAGTCATTAGACTTAGTTTTACTTTCAAAACCTGGATTCAATCTATTTTTTTATAGATATATCCTTCCCAGAATGTTTTACTTGGAGAGTCACAAGTACA